TTAGCGGCTTCTCTGCTCTCTACTACGCTGCGAAACTGGAGGCTCTTTCGGGGTCATGGCAATGAAGCCCGTTTTTTTTTACTGTGTTTAGCACTTTTGATGCCCACGTATAGCTTGCTGGGCTCTGAACGTGGAAGCTGAGTATAGTCACGGGTAGCTTGCCAGTCTCTGCCAGAGTGGATACGGAGCTTAGTTGTTGGAGGCGACTCCTAACCGCCTTCCATATACTTCCCAGTCGTTTGATTTCAAGCTTTTGGTCCGAATTGACGCGTAAAATACAATCCGTATAAGCAAGAACACACCCACAAATGCATGCATGAATACACCTAGTAAATGCAGAAAGTATGTGCCAAATCGGGGAGCATAAACAGAGAGTTCATTCCCTGGATCCACCTGCGTCTCAGGGAAGCAAGGGTCGCTTTCGGCCCGCGATTAACCCCTATCCGCCACCTGGGGACGCACCACGTAGCTTCTCGACTAATCGGCTCGAGATCTCATGTGAGGTAGGTACGTGGTACAATACCCATAGGAAAAGGGGTTTCACAGGACGACACAATATCGCCAAAGCCGTTCAGTGCCGCACTGCAGTGGATAATGAAGTCACTCGCTTGAGATGGGAAAGGCATTCGTATTGGTTAAAAATTCCTTTCAAACCCTCATTTTGCCAACGACATTGTCATTTTTTGAAGAGGTATTAGCGAAGCAGAGGTGATGAACAACGAGCTCAACGAAGCGGGGAAAAGGATTGGACTTCGCATCAATTGAAAGAAGACCCATTTGCTGAAAAACCCATGGTGCGGTGCCGAAAAATTGAATTAAATGGCTCGCTCATTGCAGTGACTGCCTCGTACTTTACCTTGAGGATCAATGAACATGGAAAACAACATTAAGGAGAAACTAGATAGAAAATGGAGAGCAGCTTCGGCCGCATTTGGGTTTTCAATGAATCCACCGACCAATTGAAGGACCCGAAAATCCGCACTCATCTCTTTGATTCCACGGTCCTACGAACACTCTGTTATGCTGCAGAGACGTGGGTTGATAATTCAGCTACGTCAAGAATGCTTCGAACTACTAACAGAGCGGTTGAGCGATGTCTTTTGAAATACAACCGGCACTCTCAATTTATAGCTGGAATGAGAAGCTCTGACCTTCGAAATCTGTCACTTCTTCGAAACCCAGGAGAATATACATCGACAGCGAAACATCGATAGACCGGTCACATAATGAGAAAAAGCAGACAACAGATGGACGAAAAGAACAGTAGAGTGGACTCCAAGAGAATGCAAACGCCTCCTTGGACGACCACCTACACGTTGTGCGGACGTATTCGTGAACGAAGTTAATTAGCTGTATCCGCAGCTGAAGTCGCTTTACAGACCACGGTATGAGACTCGCAAGGGCTACCATGCTCGAACAAGACCACCACCATGGGATTGTGAGAGAAAGGAACGAATGGCATATGTGCTGGTGTCCGCACAGCTCGTGAAGACGGACCGTCCAAGTATCCAATTAAGTATGTCATCAATATTATCGCTGTGAGCTTCGGGTTCCTTCGCTCACATGTGTGACACGAGTTACTCCTAGTATCGTTTATTCGATTACGCGTTCAGTAACGCTCAGTGGTCTTTCTTCATGCTTACGTGGCGGACAAGTTTATGAAATATACATTAAGACAGAAAAAAATCGTGGAATCGAAAGCTGGGCACGGTTCTGGGTGTTGTTTGCTTTCTTCATTACATACTCTGTGCTCTACAAAGCTCACCAACCCGCTCGTTTCTTTCTGACCAAGTGTGGAGAAAAGTCGTTAATTATGCTGATTTATCTCGAAACCGACCTTCCCTAAACCTCGGTGTGACTAATCAATACGTATTCTTTCTTGATAAGCTTGCACGAGGTTGATAAATATATTTATTTTCGGCTAACGTTTCGACGTCTTCGTCTTCCTCAGAGCCGGTGATCCGAGTCGATGGTCCATGCTTGTTGTTCGCCTCGACGTTGCGTCTTCGCCTTCCTGTCGAGCCAGATCTTCCTCAGCGAACCATCTTCTCGAATGAGGCATCCTCACTCAGTGATGCCCTTTTATACACGATGCTGATGGTGGATATATAATGACAATGTCCGGTGGTAACAACTTGTATTTCTTCCGGACATACATCATTGCGCACATCGTGCAGAGGTCGGTGTATTATCAGCTAGCACAAAGCGTAGTAGAAAGACCTCAGCGAAATCATTATATATCCACCATCAGCATCGTGTATAAAAGGGCATCACTGAGTGAGGATGCCTCATTCGAATTTTTTTTTCGCTGAGGAAGATCTGGCTCGACAGGAAGGCGAAGACGCAACGTCGAGGCGAACAACAAGCATGGACCATCGACTCGGATCACCGGCTCTGAGGAAGACGAAGACGTCGAAACGTTAGCCGAAAATAAATATATTTATCAACCTCGTGCAAGCTTATCAAGAAAGAATACGTATGCTGATTTAATTACTTAGATGGTGGTAGCTGAAGTATTTGGAGATAATTTTTTCTCCGTGCATGAATGGAACATACGAAACCATTCCGTTCGTCATGAAAATCGTTCGTTTTTGAGATTTAGTGGAAGATCAATCTTTCCGCCGCGTCGTCTCAATCCAGTGTTGGCGCGACCTTCTGGAAGGTGGCACTAAATAGATTTGGCGAGATGATGCCGCCCTGTCGAACCTCTTTCCTTAAGTTGATTTTCGTATCCTTATAAAATGATCATATATAAATAGCCAAATGTTATAGATCATGAATGTTCACATGCAGTGCAGGTACGCGCTGTATGTCGAGAGCTTCTTCAAGTGTTTTTGTCATAAATGAATTGAAAGTTTTATTAAACCGACGAGAGTGAAACAGAGAGGTGGATTGTACCCTCACGGGACCATGATGAAGTATGTTATTTTGTGAATTTAGTTCAATATACTGAATCCTTTTCAAAGCCCTGCTTGCTCGCATGGCTGTCCTCCTTCCACTGTTCTGTCAATATTGTTTAGGACGACTCGAATGAAAGTTTTTTAGACAACAGACAGCAAGCAGATTGGATGGTAGTTACTGATATCTCAGACGTTGCCCTTCTTGAACAATACACAGTCTGTATTCTTTCTTGATAAGCTTGCACGAGGTTGATAAATATATTTTCGGCTAACGTTTCGACGTCTTCGTCTTCCTCAGAGCCGGTGATCCGAGTCGATGGTCCATGCTTGTTGTTCGCCTCGACGTTGCGTCTTCGCCTTCGTGTCGAGCCAGATCGACCTTTCCTTTCCAGCCTCTGCACCTTTGACCATAATTGCTGTTTTTCTCCTTTAAGACCTTCTTTTGTCGCCTTTTTGAGTTGTCTTGCGAGTTCGGGCATGAGGCTACAAGAAGGGCGTAAGGATCGGCGTCTGTGGAGAGTGTTCTGGCACTATACGTGCATAGTAAGAAACAATTTCCATGGCGTGTCGAGCGTGTGCTCGTCGGATTCGCTTCCAATGACATCCTGCGTAACCCGAGATTTTCTGGCCTCTCACCGGTTGTCTCACCGCCTGACGTCATGGACGTTAGCACCCAATCTGTGAAGTACAGAGGCTGGCCTATTGCTGGTCGTGCAACTTGTTCCTTCCTAGAGTTCTGACGTAACCTTGCAAGGATGTATCCATGTCTTCGCTGCGACGTGAATCGGAGGAAGGTGTGTTTTCGGCGACGAATCCTTCGCTCGGTCTTCCTACTAGTTGATTCAGAGAGATGTTAAAACTAAAATCAGAAACGAAAGTAGGAATGTAAAAGTAACCGACCGCTCAAGGACGATGTAGAAGCCCTCCGACCTATTTTAATGATCAAGTGTCAAAGACACCGTTCTACACACCGAACTGTCGATGATTGAGTGGACCGGTCACTTAATGCTTCCGAATGACAACCCATGGACAGGAGCTATTAGCGACTGCATTTCTCGGGATCTCAAACGCGTATCAGGAAGAGCCTGACTTGATAGACAGAGTTCTTCGCTAAAACCCTGAGAATAAGATGTGATCACCGGCGAGCCTCTTAAAGGAACAGCACCCGCTAAGTTGCTTTGACACACAAAATCGAGAAGTGAAAGCTTTTTCGGCGTCGGTTTGAGTCACTGTACGATCAACGGGACTGAAGGTGACACAAGTGATCCATCGTCTACTCTTATCATTGAGTCACTAACCCCTCCATTATTTACATTCGATATGTATTCTAACAGGGCTCAAAGGTATGATAGCTGTTCAAGAATCGATGTTTTCATTATGACTAGATATGGTGCTATATGTTCCATTCTGAAAGACTACTAATCGCTGTATTGTAGAGCACCTCTCTATGGTTGTTCTCGCTGAGCCTCCGAACAAAAACGCCACATTTGATTCTTTACAGTTGCGGCCGCAACAAATGTAGTAAGTCTGCGTTTTCTGTCCTTGGTAGATAATCTTCAACCAATTTACCGATAGTGCAAAGGCATCATGGCCTGCTCGACCGAAGCAACCGGATAGAGTTAAACGATTGGTGAGCTATATAGTTTTAATTTATCTTTTCCTATTGGTGCCATATCCGATAAATGATCACTTGTATCACCCGTAGTCCCGTTGATCGTCGAGTGACTCGAGCGGGCGCCAGTAAATTTTCCATTTTTCCCTGTCGCGTGCAGGAGTAACCCATTGGGTTCTGCTCGCTCTAGGAACTCGTTGAGCATGATATCTTTCTTCTAGGCTTTTCGTGAAGAAGTCTGACCATCAAGTCGGTGGTCTTCCTGCAGCACGTTTGACATCACGAGGAATCCAGTCACTAACGGCTCCTGCCCATTGGTTCTTGTTTATACGCATTACGTGTCCGGCCCACCTTATCTTCGACTGTTTGGCGCGCAGAACGGTATCTTTGATTTTCGATCGTTGACGCAGGTCGGAGCTTCAGATGCCTTCCATACTTGTGTCACACGGTATACTCCCAACATCGTCCTTTGACCATGCGTTCAACAACGCTAAGCGATCTTTTATCCTTCTTGCAGCGGCTAGGTTTCACACGCATACGTTAAGGTAAGAAGCACAATTGAGCCGAAAAGGTGGGTACGGAGTCGGGTGTTCTTTGTTCTTTCCACTACATCCTCGATTCTAATGAAAGCTTCTCAAGCCGTTAGCTTATTTCTGCTCAACTCTTGAGTTAAGTCATCCATCATGTTGATTTGCTGCTCTAGATAAGCGTAGTTATAAATAATAATCACTTGAGTGTTCGTTATATCACTTTGTGTTCTGTTAACATATTCGCGAGTTCTATCCCATCTTTGGGCGTTAGGCTGTTTCCAACTTCAAATACGTATGTCTCGGCATATAGACTTATTAATCCATCAAACCATTGAAATTTGCATGTCTTTAACCAAAGGATGAAATTTTTAACTTTGGTGAAGTGGTGATTTTCTGGAGCTCATAAGATAAATTTTATCCACTTTATTGCTTTAAAGCTCGCATTTCGAAGGAGAAAGCAAACGAACAAAGGAGGTGCCGTACATCGAAAAAGGAACTGGGTTTTCTATTGTACAATTTATGCTCCCTACCTGGGCTCATTCGCTTCTAAGTACATTTACATTTTAAGGATACTCTATGATCATAATATTTAATAAATGCAAAAGAGCAAAGTATCTGCTATGAATCGACGAGGTTCAGGGATTCTGAGATACTGTAAACTACGACGAATTGTCGTTTTTTGTCGAAGAATAAGCATCGAGACGAATGTGTGAATAATAAACAGATCCTCATGTATCCTCATGACTTTTAGCAGTATCTGGCCGGCCGAACAGATAGAATGGGACTCAAAACTGGACATCGAGAAATACGTGTGGACGGATAAGGTATGTTTAATGTTGATATTTCCTCGTTCAGCAATCACGAGGTTGATATATTTATTTATGTGATCTTATAAACTGATCTTCTTAAGCTGACGCGAGGTTGGCACAGATCTTCGTTGACGTTGTCGTTGTTTTTGATGTTATTGATCGATGGCAGACGTTTCGGTGACATCGCCTTCCTCAGAGCCTGGACGTATTTTATATTAGAATATTTTTATTATTCGGTGGAAAAGAAAGGTTAAAGTGTTAATGAAGATCAAACTTTCAAATAGACGGGATATTGAACAGAAAGGCCACTCACCGTGATGTTACGTGCGGGAATGGCCCACACGTATTTCACGAGGGGTCGCGAGCAGGACACACTCCGGGTTCAAAATATCATTTTGAAATAGGGTGCAAAGTCAGGTGTGATAGTGAGGCATTCGTCCTTCCGGTTCATCTTTGGATTTTTGAAATTTATCCAAAACGCCTCAAGAGTTTTGCGCGTTGATGTTTTTGATTCCTGCGCTAGGATCCGCACATTTACTTCAAAATCATCGCTGTTGTGCTTTTGTGCCCTATGCGTACCTAGAGGATTGTTTAAACGGATTTTAGCTTTTCCATCGAGATGTTCTTTTACGCGGATGCAAAGTGGTCTACCCGTGTGGATTGGCTATTGGAAATGGGTTGACTACGTGCAAAACTCGGACCCAATTCTAACAAAGAACGCGCATTTTCCGAAAGCGTTATACCTCCTAGTACAGTAACCCTGGATGTTCTTGGTGTGCAGTCTATTTAAGGGTTTTTACTTGCAACTTGACCAGCAATGATCCCATGGTTTAAGCTTTTCGAGCGGCGCGATAGATCTTCAAACTTTTTTCTCAACTTGCTCTTAATATTACACCGAATCTTTTCGCCTACCGATTTAGACCCAGCTACTATTCTCTTCCAAAGATTTCTCTCCAAATGCTGAGCACAATGGTTATCTTTGTACACTTTTGCTTAATAGTGAAAACCTTTCGTTTTCTGTGCATCCCAATGAAACGCGTAGCAGTTTTATTTTGATGCTCAGCACTTGTTGAAAGCTCTCCGATAGGCCGCATACTTAGTATGATTTTCTACGTTTTATATAAAGTTAGGTATAAATCGATGTTTTAAGCAGCGGCGTAGAAAGTAGGTCTTTTGTCGCATTA